CATCTTCAATCTTTGCTTAGAAACAGGAGTGTTCCCAAAACGTCTGCAAGTCACTAGAGTTAATGTTATATAAAAAAGGTAACAAAAATGACCTTGATAGCTATAGGCCTATTTCCATTCCTACTTATCTCTTCAAAAAGATTGTAAAAACCATTGCATAATCGTTTGACAGCTTTTTCTAAATAACACGATGTGCTCATTTCCAGCCGATTCGGCTTCCGTAAAAATAATTCTACGGAATCTGCTTTACTTACTCAAAAATAATTCATGTTACAGAACGTTGAAGGAAGAAAAATTGTACTCGGGGTTTTCATTGATTTCACAAAGGCTTTTGATCCGCTAAACCACAAAATACTACTACGTAAACTCGAGCGCTACGGTGTGCGAGGTCACTCCCCTTCTCTACTCAGTTCCTATTTACAGTACAGATAATTTTAAAACGCTTTCATATATGTCTAAGTCAGTAACGTAAAGTTCACTATTAAATCTTGTAGCTTTTTTTTTTTTTCTAACGCGGTTTATGCAAATCAGTACCTTGTTCCAAAAGTCCAGCAAAATCAGAAATGCGTCACTCGCCATCCCGTTGGAAAGAACAGTACTGCGACCCTTCTTGACTCACTGGCTTCATAGTTGTTCTTTAGTATTTCCTGTAGAGCTTGAAGTACCTCCTTAAGCCCGGTTAACACTGCTTATACCTCATACAAAAGATAGCCTTCATAGAGATTCCAAAGCGAGTCACCGCGAAATTCGTAGTTCAAATGCCGCATGTCAATGAGTTCAAGGAGAATCTTGGCACGCGGCATTAGAACAATCTTGCGGCATTATAACCGATATTGCGGTGACTCGTCTTTGCAGACCCTCTTTTGTATGATGCATGGGCAGTGTGCATTCTGACAGGTTTCACTGTTGCCGTCCTTGCACTCACCCTTGTTTCGAACACCGAGTTTAGAGCGATAGGCATAGCGTCTTTTTGTTCCCCCCCCCCCCCCTCCCTTCGCTCCCTGTTGCATTGAGCGAGGCAACAAACGTAAAATACTTCAATGGTCCCAAAAAAACGTAGTAACCATAATAATATTTAGCATATAGACAGAAAGGTTTCGGCCCCCGGTACCCTTTGTCCAATCCTAAATCATGGCTTCCTCCCACTGGCCAGTCCGGTGCCCCCTCTCCCCTCATGTTGCACCCAGGGCACGCACACCCTCCCCCCCCCCCCTCCTCCTTCACCCCGTGCCACATCTATAGGTACGCCACTGCACACAAGTCACCTTGCCTAATCGATACGCACATAAGCAGAAGATAAAAAGAGTATACCGCGTCACCAAGGCGGACTTATCTGTAAGCTGCCCAATTCTTCCGGTTTAAGATTAGTACATTCTTAACACCCGAATTTCTAGCCTCGATGCAAGAAGCAGAAACCGCTGCCTTCATTGTAGTTTTCCTCAGACTTCAATTTGCCCAATGTCCTACATATCTATATCAACAATTTAATTCTTTTTGCCTTTTTTTTAAGAAAGATTTTGATAAAAATAGTGGTCTGAAAAAAAGTTGTTACTTCCATATAGTCGCTTAGTAGTAACCCTGCACACAAACTCGACTCTCTGGTGTCACGCTTCTGCGGTGGCGCCGCTGTCGGTTGCGCGCTTCCGCAGAAGCTTCCTCTCACGAGAGTCTGGTGTTTTCTGCGCGTGCCTAGTGCCCGCACCTGGTGTGAACATGACGCGGTCTTGCTCGTAAACAGCGCGTTGGTCTATAGACCGACACACTGTTTACAAACAAGCCCGCGTTTGCCCACACCAGGTGTGGGCACTGCGCGAGCGCAGAAACCAGATTCGCGTGAGGGGAAGCTTCTGCGCATGCGCCGTAGCGACAACAGCGCCACGGCAGAGACCTGACGTCGGAGTCGCGTGCTGGTTTATAATCACGCAGGGGGTTGTGGCTCATTATGTTCGCGCTTGATGCTTTGTGATTGGTCCCTCGGCGTTTTTAATCGTCTCATGCCGCAATCTCATTGGTTGTGAAGCGATCATAAGATTCCCGGCACCCGACACGCCTTCCGTTTCTTAACTTGTCGATGTCTATATATAAGTAATACTCTCTCATATAGTAGTTTCAAAGATTTAACTCAATAATAAACTTTTTTCGTCTCCGAGTAGGGCGGTTATGCTCACTGCTTTTGACGCGATGGCAATTTCGAGGCAACTTAGTTTGCAATAACTCAAACGAGTCAATTATTTGCAATGCCAAGACGAGCAAGACGAGCCATCACAGGCGAAGACGCTTATCAACTAAAAGTTCGACAGTAAAACGTACTACTATATTAAGGTTATAAAAAATATTGAATGAGCGAGGTGCACTTCTAGGCGTCTAAACTCGTCAAACACACAGTTCGGGCGGAAGTTGACGGTGCACACCGATTGGAATAATACGATAATGATTTCGCGCTTTTTTCGCCGACGTCCAATCGGCGCGATACGTGAACTTTCTGCTCCAACTTTGTGTTTGACGAGTATACACTCTAGAAAAAAAGCCCGCGCGTCTACTTTCCCGCACAATACTCGGAGAGCCAATGACCGCAACATACGGGGGCAGCTCAGCAAATGGCGATGCCGAAACATATGTTTAGACCAAAATACGCAGTCTGGGTTGTGACATTAAAGGGGCCCTGCAAGCACTTTTTTACTAATTTTTAATTTGCACCAAACCTGAGCGCACTAGCCGTAATAACTTAATGTAACTTTTCTTTTCTCGAATTTCGCTTTATTTTAAAAGTTATAGGCAAATTAAAATTACAAAAACAAGCAAAAAATAACCTCCCTCATGACATCCTTGGTTGCTTGAGTGGCCGTGAACTAGAGGAGGGATAGTGAGCTCAACGAGCGCTCACAGTTGCCGCGCTGCCGTGTCCACGGCGCGAGAGGGCGCCACTACAGCGTGTTCTGGAAAGGCTGTATACAGCGGGCAGCCAGAGCGGCTCTCATTGCGTTTGCTGCGCAATTAAACACTAATTCGGCATGACACTTCATTGGCCACAAACGACAGCAAACACGGGGTAAAGATCAGTTCAGAATGGGAGTCAATTCGCACTGCCGTACCGCGAAATGGCCAAAATGCAAGACAAAGCTACTCGCTGAAGGCCTTCGGAACGCTCGGAGCCGGTCGGATTCTCCAGTCCGTAAACGACCGCAGCGCCGCCGTGTAGATCCGGGACCTTTCCGTGTCGGCGCCTGATCCCACTACTCTTTTCTAGTATGCGCCGCCTTATCCACCGCTCGGTGGCGGGTATGTCGAAGGGTCATTTATTGTTTCCGTACTTTATAAACTGCATTTGTTTCTTTTCTGATCTAAAGTACAGAACAAAAACTACTTTTATAAATAGTTGAAACGGTTCGCGCCACTTATATTTTGTATTTCGACTAAAAAGAAGCTTTTAGCGGCTCTGACCAGTAGTAAGCCCAGGACCAAAGACGTCACATTTCGCGCGCTTTCGGTACCGCGGGTCGCCCCCGTCGGTGGAGGAGGTTTCCGCGGCGTTCGGTTAAAATATGATGCACTGATATTCAGTTACTCTCTCTGTGCCCGCTGGCTTGCCCGAACCCCAAGAGACGTGGAAACCGCAAAAAAGGTAGACGCTTAAATATAATTGCAGGGCCCCTTTAAGCAATGCAAAACGTCACGCTTGCATTGCTTAACGTCCCAATGACACATCTTGTTTTCCTGTGTTTTATTATTCCAATTTTATATATTCATGTTCAACCCGCTCGGCCTTTACCAGTCACAACTCAGATTGCGTTTTTTGGTCTAAACATATGTTTTGGCACCGTCATTCGCTGAGCTGCCTCCATATGTTGCGGTGATTGGCTCTCCCAGTGTTCTGCGGGAAAGTAGACGTACGGGCTTTTTTAAAGTGATATAAGGCCTCTATATTTCGTTACACCTGATGTTTGAGCGCAGCCGACGCTACGAGCTGTGATGGCACGTATCAAACAGCGCCAAAAAGCACACCGTCATGGCCAGGGTGCACGGTCATGGCTCTCGTAATCTACAAAATGTTCCTGAACTCTATTCAGGCCTAAACAGATTCGTATAAATAAGTAAGCGAAGGGAGTGCGTTGAAACCTCTAACAAAGATCTATTTAGGAGGTACACTTATCATGCTCAAATTTCACGAGTGCGAGATCCAGGAAAAAACATGGAATCCTACAAAAAAACATCTTGTTTGCTTTCCTATGCGGTAGAAAAAACGGAAACCAACCGTCTGCCTCACGCCGCAACTCACAGATGGGTACCATCACTGATCTTCACTAGGGGTCTGGCGACCATCAATGACAGCCATCTGTGACAGTGCATTAAGCAAACGGGGGCTCGGGATTGAGCAAACGGGTATGAAGCCATCGAAATTAAGAGCGGCTTTTACCGGAAGTGAGCGCTTGACAGTCTTTGAACTCTTTCGAGTGCTGGTTTCAACAGCGTCCAGGGCGCTGCATTTTTTTTTTATTTTGTCATCTCAAGAGAGCCAACTTCTTGCGCAGTAAAAACGCATGCAGACCCGAGAAGTCTCCTGGGCGGTCATTCGACGTGAAAATATAGGGCGTTTAGTTGAGCAAGTGTGCCCCATATACGTGGTAACTTCCATAAAGTACCAACGCAGCACTGTCATAAGAAAAGGTTTCTCTTGAGGCCAAGGCTGGCTGTCTGAACAATCACCGAACTATAATAGCCAACACAACAAAATAAGCTTTCTAGAGAACTTCGTGCACAAGTTCCTTTCTGACCCGTCTGCAACGCTCGGACCACTAGGACGTAAAGAAAATGGAAAACTGCCCCTAGAGAAACTTAACTGAGTTCCTAATAGGAGTGGTTTAGTATACGTTTCTTTTTGTTTCGGAGATAGCGAGCATTTCCCGCGTTTGATATCGACGCAAGTTGGTGTCTTTGATGTCAGCCTGTTATGATGCCATAGGGGCCCGAGCAACGTGACCTGAATGAAGAAACACACTTACCTGAACTGAAGCGGTTCGTTGGTGTGTGCGGTACGAAGTTTGGTGACTAGAATACGAATGATGTTGCACAGGAACACGAAGTTCAGCTGCGAAAAAAAGAAATGAATCGTGGTATTAATAAGCGCTTGGTTAGACTCGGGTAAAGAGAAAAACAAATCTTGTTTTCATCCCCTGATATTTTAGTGGGCACAGCTTATTATTGAGGTGCCAAATCGGGGGAATATTTTTCGGAGTTTATTGTTTCTAGCAAAAAGAACGAACCCTTAATATATTCCACGAGGATGCAACATACCAGATAGGCCGCTTTCAGAAGTATTTGAATCTCTTCCATCTGCCAACAGTAATCAGATTTCGTCTTTTTTTCTTTTCTTAGATTTGAACCGTTAATTGGTGACCCTGGAAAACCAGCTCCAACACCATCACAAGGCAGGCTTTGACCACGGACAGTGGGTTGCAGACTTTCTCAGTTCATAGTCATCTTCACAAGTTATTCTTGAAACTGATTAAGCGGCGCAATTTAACAGACATCCTTTCAAATAATCGTCGTCACAGCGCTTAAGCCAAGAGCGGAGCCCTCTCGTAAGCGACGTCGTCTTCCTCACTTTAATTTAGTCAATTTTGCTGTCCTTAACTACAAAAAAAAAGAAGAAATGAGTGGACCATTAGCTTTTCTTTTCACAGTCAGGCCTGTTCATCTAGGTTGTAGTTAAATTGATATGTTTCGAACTTCGGTCGTGCAAGTCAAAATTGACTCCGTAAGTGCGACGTCATGGGTCCAAACAAACCGTTGCTGGGGTCGTTGTTACCGATAAATACATGTGGCTGGGTTTCGCTACGAAAACCTGACCGTTCAGAAATCAAGAGTAGGATTTAATCTTCTGAAAATCACAGGTATAGAAAGCTTGAATGTCATATATGGTTCGACACAAGTGTGCCAGTAATCGCTTGTTTTTGAAATATTTGCGACTGCAACTTCCGGTCGTCACAATGCCTACTGCAGACGACGAATGCAAGAAGTATGGCGTCTGCCACACGCCGGCATGCCAAGCCGGCGCTGTCGGTTGAATCGTGTGAATAAGGACGATATTCTGATATTGCATTTCTTTTAAATATAATGATTTTCAGTAGCTTAAAAGAATTCATAGTGGGGTGCGATGCAAAATAGGGTTTATCAAATCTCCAGGCGGCGATCGAGATGATCGTCTGCTAAAAGATCGCATTGGACCCGGGAGGAAAGCACTTCAGGCAATCGGTCGAGACCCCAAATTTTGTTTTTACAAAATACCTTGACGGCGTACGATTTCTTTCTCATACTGGCCTGCACTACGATGGTAATGCACTTCAGGTCGTCGTCGTAAATGATCTGCATGACGTGGTTTGATTTTGCGTCATTTTCACCCCTCTGAACTAAACTGGGTCCTTCACAGAAAAAAAAAACGCACATTGCGGAGGCGTCTACGGCCACGGCAATGCACTTGTTTTTGTCGCTTGTTTACCGATGCAATTCAATGAAGACGCCCGCTGCAAGACACTCCAGCATATCTATCGTGTCGTCTGCTGCCAAAGCAAAGCGGGGTGTGTTACTTCAGAAATGGCTTTTATCGTTGCAATACGACACTGAAACGACAAGAACATCTTCATAATTAGATATGAAGAAGTTAAGTTGCTTACAAAAATTTATTTACTTACTTGTAAGCAAGAATCTAGCCTCATGTGGAGTCTCCATGCATTAGTCCATAGCAACGTCCCTGGTAACGGTTTGTTTGGACCAACGTTATTAGATTAGCTCAGTTACGGAACTGCTCATAGGCGCCGCATACACGAAAAGTACCCTCCCCTCACTCACCACGAATCGCCTGGCGTCGCTCGACGCGCCGCCAGACGGCTGCTTTGGCAACTGAATCAGGGTACGTACGTTTTAACATTACTAGAAACGTAAAAACCAACGGAAAAAAAAAACATTTTTGTAGTAACTTTTACTGTAGTTTAGTACCAAATGGGGGGCGCGTGATGTTTTCTAAAATCTTTAGTTTGCAAGGTTTTACGGTACAAATAATATTGTTTTCATACAACCATGCCTCAGTGGTGATTTCAGGTAGCACGTCCCGACCTAGGCTAATCTTAACTTCGGTGGTGTTCCGCGGCGCGTCCGCTGGGGAGACGAGGGTGGCACCCCTGTAACCCTTTCCACTGTATCGATTTCGGCTCCGAAATGGCCGATTGAATCTAAAATAGCTATTACGTGCAGTTCCTTGAGTGACCGCTGCAGAATAAATGGCGGCGTTGTGATCGCCATTTCGCGCTTCAGCTGGGCTCTTTGAAACGCACAGTTATGAAACGAAAATATAGATGGCGCTTTGAAGGACGGCTGGCAGATTGAAGTGAGTGAGGGGGGGGGGGGTACCCCCCTCCGCGGGAGTTCCACAACTGAGGTAATCTAATAACGCTGATTTGGACCCAGACGCTATGTTGTGACGTCATCACTTACGGGGTCAATTTGCCAATTACTATGGTCACTGAGAGCTTACGAGAAAAAAGGGCGTGGCTTATGTTATGTTCCTTGCCTCGCGATTGGCTCTTCTGTGTTCTTATCGGCTAATACCGCAATCTTTCTGGCTTCAAAGAAATAATGAGATGCACGAGACTCATCTGATTTCTTAAAGAAACTCTTAAGAAAATCCTTCAAAGCTAACGAACAAAAAAAAAAACCTAAGGTTTTAATGCAGGCATTCTAAAAATTATGTGTCTTAAGTTTTATTTCGTCATCGGCGTGTCGGATGACACCTTGTTCGCCTTTAAGCTGGCTCGGAGATGCCGGAAATGACGTCACGACGCTTTGTACAGATATTATTGCCGCATGTGTATGTAGTCTTTATTTCAGACGAAAGAGAAATCTGATGGGCTGAGATGAAAGAAGACAAACTTGTCTTCTCACGAGAACCCCAGCCTCGTGCAGGAAATATTCGTGCAGTGATCGCCCTGCGGCAATCGCTGCACACAAATTTTTTTTCGAACTAAATGCGGTTTACATTTATTTTTGTCTAAGTTAAGTGCGATGACTCAATTTACTGGACAAAAAGCTGTAGAAGTCCTCACCTAATTTAGATTTCCCGAAAAATGATTCAGCTTCCCTTTAAGCGACTCTGACTATGTAGCTTGTGACTATAGAGCTCGTGGCCAGTGACTACAAAGCTAAATATTTCTCTGAACTTCCGCATTTTTCCATGGCGCTTTATTATTAGAGAATTCGGTGAAACAAACTGGAATTTTCCTATTGGTGGCCGCAAATTTAGCAAGCCAAGTGAAAGAGTATAATGCTTTTTAAAATTGATTTAAATTCGCAACTCTTTAATAAGGCTTGTGTGCGTCCGTTTCCTTACATATTATATTGTGTCTTGCTCATTCAATTATTAACAATCTGCGTTCACTGTCTGCTTTTATCCGGCAGTTGACAGCACTAAGATTACTGTAAGGAAGTTGCAGTAATTACGTTACAATTGCTTGGTAATTAGTAATATGATGAATTACTTTTATGGCCTGGTAATTTAGTAATGTAATGAATAAACTTCAGACAGTAAGTTTCGTAAACTTGCTAATTAATTTTGGGGTAAATGAGCATAGTTAGTTTGCGAACTTAAAAGGGACATTTTTGCAGGATAAAATGTCGGATTTTCTATATGGGATCGGTGCCAAGCAAACGTCCTCGGACAACAACAACAACTAAATCGAGAGTGAGAGAGACAAATACGGCAATCAGACAAAATAAACGAGGCCCGTTTGAGCGCAAAGCCTACGTGGAACAAGTCAAATGCACAAAGGCAGGCTCGAGAGACTAGCAGATGGAAAAAGAATTCCTGTGAAAACATCGCTGGAACGCTACGTCTCATGAAACTCCGCACAAGGTGGATTAACGGTGCCACGTCATCAGGGTGGTACTAGGCTACAACGCCAAAGGCGCACAACCATGTGAGGTCGTCCACATTAAACCTGAGACTACAGAACAAAGAGGTCTTCAACCTTTTTGCCATTTTGTCAAGCTTCGACCATGGCGACCTGAACAACAATCGTCCTAAGTAAATAGTACATCTGAAATGCCTTATCAGGAAACCGAATATTTATTGCGCAGCCTTGGGCTTGGCAGGTAACCATGACTTTTATAAGTTGTAAAAGACAAGGAAGCGAACAATGCAAGTGCCGCACGCGGTATGTCTCTGCCGTTTACTTTGAGGGTTTTCTCGCAAATAAACAAACGATCAGACATTCCCACCCGTTCGTTCGGCCATATTTTAGGAAGCTTCCGCCAGCCCCTTCTTTTCCTGGCGGCGTTTCTACCGGTTACAAAAAAAAAAATGTATATCTCGTCGGGTGGTTCTCATTTGAACCCGTTCGCATTTCTACCTTCTCGTTTTTACCTTCTCGTTTCAACCCAGCGCAACACAACTTTCGCGTTTCTCCCTTTCTCATTTAAACCGTTCTCAAAACAAACTTTCGGGTTTTGACCCTTCTGAAAACGACTTTTCTCATTTCCACCTTTCTCATTTCAAATTTTCTCAAAACATACTTTCTGGTTTTGACCATTGTCAGAAAGACTTCTCTCATTTTAACCTCTCTCCTTTCGAACCAAAATTAGTCCAACATCATGATCTCGCAATCTTTCTGCGGTATTTATGGCGAATTCGGGTAATTAATTGGCTTCGAGCCCTTGCCTGTGGCACCGGCGACCAATAACGCTCCAGCGGCGCATCACGTCACTCTCTCCACCTGAATGCAAAGCACAATGGACTGGCGTTATTATTTGACTGGGTCGCGAGTGAGCTCTGTTAACTTCTTCTTCGATCATTCTGTGGTGCCATGAGCACGCTGCATACGCCAACAACATAAATTACGACTCTTTGAGATGTGAGTAAACAGAAGCGCCTTCACAAAACTTTTCAAAATATTGACATTACCACAGTCCGTACAGCTGACGGAACATTAGAATATAAAACCAATGAAAGGGCAGATGTATAAATCAGTGTGGTGCTGCCCGCACGCGCGTCAGATTTCAATAAACTTCGTTTGAATTTTCCATTAACTGTTGCCACGGAGGCTTGCCAGCGTCGCTTTCCATATTCTGTTTACTGTTAGTACCTTTTTTGGAATCCTCAGTCTTCTCATTGCACCCACCCTCCTTGAAATTGTAATGCGTGTTCAAGTTTCAAACTGCATCACTATGCATACTTTTTTTTTCAGCGGTGAAATAACTTGTTATTACAGAGTTGTCAAATAAAGTGATGTATGATGCAGCCCGTGTCTCAGAGAAAACATACCTTGCTCAGGCTGGATAAATTCTTCCAAAAATGTTGACTTTCTTTGAAACATAAATTATCTTTCTCTTCGTTGTTTTTGCTATCTTGTCTCACAGCACAAAAGGGTGCCTGTCTTGATGGCTTCGTTTCCCACTCGAACCCGCTATTTGCCGCCTCAGCGAGTATTGTTTCGTTTGGTTCCCTATCCCGATTCGGATGTGACGATACCGGATACAGTCTGGCAGACAAGCTGCCTGACCTCTTGGAGCTCGGGAAAACTTCTGCTGGTAAATTGCCGGTACACGCCTGAGAAGCGCAACCCGAAAAGCTTGCACCCGCCAGCCTTTGACCACGCGAACGCCCTTGCCGAAGATATGGGAAAACGTTTTTTTCAGGGAAAATGACCACCCGAATTGGCCATTACAAGCAATAACACACGACTAGCACAATGATCCATCCACTCGACACGACGATCTTAACGACATACAGCGACAGAAGAGAAATGAAGTACCGAATCTGCGCTAGCACTTTTGAAACCACGTCACCATGTGACCACGTAGCTACGTCAACAGACTCGGGGTGGCACGCAGGCATAAGGAAAATTGTTTCATGTGCTATGCAAGAGATGGTGCCGCTTCGCTTCATCTTAAACCTTTGTCCTTCAACTGTTTTTCCTTCTTTCTATGCCTCACTACGGTGTTCAAATGACAACGGGTTCAAATGAGAAAGGGTCGAAACGCGAAAGGTTAAAACGCGAAGGGCGTTTTGCGAATGGGTTCAAATGAGAATGGGTTCAAATGAGACGGGTATAAATATGAAAGGGTCGAAACGCAAAAGGTTAAAACGACAAGGGTGTTTTGCGAATGGGTTCAAACGAGAAGGGTTCAAATGAGAATGGGTTGTTTCGAGATACACCGATCTCGACAGATCTGGAAATTTCAGATAGGGCCATATCAAAAATTGGCCACATATAACCTGATATGGTATATCGGCCAGATATAGCCTCATAATCAAATCAAATCAAATCAAAATTCTTTATTTTTCTCCATTTGGAGAGGGAAGACAGAAAAAAAGCAACATAAGGGTAGCTTGACAGGTCTCCATCTCCCCTCAGAGTGATATAGCCAGATATAACCTGACACCCCTGGCTAGGTATGGAAATCCCAGATCTGGCGAAGTATGGAAATTCCAGATCTGGCCAGGCATTTCAAAAGGACACAAACCTGGAATCAGCACTTTATACATTTTTATTGTCTACAATTCCCCCAAGTGCCCGAGCCCACACTTGAGGAGTTTTGGAAACGGTGGTCCTTCAGCTCCCTAGTGATCACTAGTTTTGACCAATTTCATGGTTACACATTTTCGAGTGTAATTCGTAGTCACCCTGAAGAAGCCTCCCATAGGGCTCAAGTACCTGTCGTATCACTTTTAAATTTTCTTGTCAATTGCACCGTTTATGATACTGTGCATTCTGTCCCAACTTCAACCCAGGCTCAGCCGCCAAAATCTCTTACCATAATATCATTCTCGTGATTGTTTTTTGAGCAGGAATTCCTTAAAAGCCGAGAAATCACAACAACCAAAACCGGCATTTAGCTCGGATTCAGTGGAGCTGTTTATGATATTTTTAGCGTTTCTGACTTAACATCAGCATCTTTGAAGCTCTGCGAGAATGAGAATAATGTAAGTGATATGTCTGCAGCTTACCCAGGCTGAAGGTTGGACGGAATGCACAGTACTGACATTCGCGGGACATTTTAAAAGTGGTATGTCAGGTACTTGGGTTCTGTACGACAATTGTTCAGGGTGACTCCGAATTGCACTCAAATCTGTGTAACCATAGAATTGCTCGAAATTTTCGATCACTAGGCAGCTGAAGAAACACCGTCCCCATGATTCCTCGAGTACGGGCCGAGGCGCTTGGGGGATTTAGCAAATTGTCTATTCGGGCGTAATGTTAACACTGAAATAATTAAGCTACATTTAAATCTTCGTGAAAACTAACACAAATAATCTCAAACTTAAGCTTGTCAAAGCTGAAGTTTGGGATTATTTGTGCTAATATTTAGCTCGCGAACAATGAGTCATTCAGAGTTTGCTAACAAAGAATTTTTTTCTTCTTTTTTTACTTTTTAATATATTGAAACCCGGCTGCCAAATAAGTCTCTATATACGCCAGATATGTCTGCATATACCCCATATCAGGCTGTATATATGCCAGATAAGTCTGTATATACGCCATATCAAGCTGTATGTACGCCAGATAAGTCTTTATATAGACATTTTCCGCAGGGGCGCCGCCATCTTGAATCGTCGTCACTTCAAGTATGGGCGACGACAAAATAGTAAAACGTTTCAACCTGTAACCAGTAAAAAAATAGAGGGGAGCCAAAACGAGAATGTGTGACGGTTAGGCTTATATCCTAAATGTCTTCTACTGGCGTGGCGACGGCAAAGTAATGTTTTCGCCCATACTGGAGGTGACGACAATTCAAGATGGCGGCGCTCTTATGGAAAAGGTCTATATGCCAGATAAATCTGTATATACGCCAGATAAGGCTGTACATAGGCCGTATGTAATCATATAATGTTTGATATGGCCAGATATGGCCCTGATATAAGATTTCCATGCGGGACCCAGCAAAACACCCAGCCCCTTGTGGGACAACGCGCTCGCTAACTTGGGCTCTTTTGATGTTGGGGAATAATACACCGGTAGAAAAATGTCCGGGAATCTTTAGACAACGCATTTTGTTGAAGGTTAAGAAAAGCAGGACAAATTCCACTTTCGCAAAGTGAACGATGGAGAGGAGGAGAGGGAACTGGCCATCCCCTCGAACGTTGGCACCTGCAATAGGGTTCAGCTTTTGGGAGAAAAAGTTTAGACTACGTTCGAGTAAGAAGGAAAACGTTTCGCATGACGTCTTCTCGCGAGGGCGAACTGCCATGTCAATATTTTTATGTTTGACGCGGACGACAACTTACGAAAAATCATAAAGACGGAATCACATCTGCTTTTGAGTTAAGACCTTCACCGTTGAATGGATTCGAAACCGGGCTGTCCCAACGTCTCAACGTTCTTCATCTATTCCCTCGGTGTAAACCTTCGCATTCCTCAATCTCGGGTTGCTTCAAATCGTTTAATATCCAACAGCTCATTTGCGCCCTTACGTTTTGTCCAGAGTAATATTATTACATTAGGAAATTAATTGTATTATAATGCAATTACTTTTAGTCCGAGGCGATCTGTAATGCAATTTCTCACATTTTGCGCAGTTTTCAGAAGGTAACTAGTAATTCAGTTTAATTTTTTATTGAAGTAATTTTGACATCTCGGTTCTTTTCACGTGGCTATTTAGGTATTAGACGGTATAGGAGCCGATAGAATCCTGGGGGCATGAAAGCATTTTCTATACTCAGTTAATTTCAGTCCGACAGCAGCAGACGTTATGATACGAGAGATCCAATCAAGCAAACGAAAAAAGTGCGTCGTCATGACACTCATCGCCTATCTGCTTTTGTCATCACTGACAATCAAGCACAGCGGATTGGCTCGATCAGGTCGAGTTGTTGGCTTTGGTCGAACTTAAAGTGAAACGGAGTACAGAAAACTTCATACGATGAACTTGTGGTAATTCCAAGGTGATTCGTATGTGCACTGTCTCGAGGCGATAATGTAGTAGCATGGGAAAATCTGTATACGAAGTAAGTATAAAATAGGGTGCCTTCGTGTGCGCTTTCTTTAGAGTGATGACATTCTTTGAAGTATCCGACGCCGAGAGCACGCGCTCTCGAAAATATATACAAAGAAATGGCCGGTCACGAAATATCGCCCTTAAACTTTCAATGCCAAGAGCTCGTGCCGGAAAACGTGCTTGCTCCCGCTCAGGAACATCAAAGAAAAAAAAGCTTCAGGAAGAAAATGGCCAGACCCTCAGCAAAGCACACATGAATGCACCTTGGTATTCATTGGCTCCAGGCTTTCTCTAAAATAAGCTCTTGCTAAAAAAGGAAAAAAAACGGCTTGAACACATTTCAGAAAAACAAATAGCGCAACGTATATTCTATGGTGAGTAAATGAGGGACAGGAGGAGACGCGAACGCGCGGAGGCATCAAAGCGCCGAGCTCTGGTTGGAAAGATTACTGTGAAGACGCAAAAGGCTAGCTGCCTTTGTCAATTTACTTAGAGTCGCCTCCAATCAGAACGAAAAAGAGCGTGGTCTGCTCTTTACACAGTGTCTCGCGGTCGGACGCCGGACGCCGGAGTTCGCCGCTCGAAGGCGTTCGAACAGTGGGAATACAAAGAAAGGCGGCCAGCCTTTGCATCTACCCCCTAATCATTCAATCAGAGATCGGCGCTCTGACGTCCCCACCTGCTCTCATCTCCTCCTCCCCCTCAGTTCTCCACCGCATACTAGCGAGCGTTTTATGTAGAAACTCACGATGAGACAAAGCAGGCCAGGAAAAAGGACGATCCACTCGTAGTGGTCCAGAGGCTCAATCCAGCACCTACGAAAAAAAGATTAGGCACCAACGTCGAAAGATATAGCAACACAAACTGCGCAAGGCCGCACTACGGCGCTTAAAACAATTCGGTCACACTTGCCATATTTCATACAAAGGACAGTCTGCAGACAGTGGGGAGTTTTAGAGAACCGTTTTCGTCCTTCCGATACGGTATAATGGGCCCTCCGGCACGAACTGCGCACCGTATCGGACGTGGAAAAACGGTTCTCTGAAACTCCCTACTGTCCGAGACTTCCTTGTATGACGTTCCCTTGTTCTTAGAAGACCTGTCTTCGGGCATGTTTGAAGCATGCATTTGAATAAAGCAAACATGGTTGGAAGTTGCTCTAGGTGCTTCTGCCGGAAATTCTGTCATCATGTCTGAAGACCGCGTCTTTTGTACAATGTATAAGCAGTACGACTGAAGCTTTAGACTTTAACGTCATCGGCTAAAAAAGTACGCATCAAGCGTCACAACGAGATTCACCTCTACAACATGATGGGTTTCGTGGTTAAGTATTGTCAAAGCGAGCAGCTTCGGGGGATACTCCGATCACAGTTTGCTCGTTTTTTAGCTTGAATGGCGGATTGCAACCGTCGCATTACGTTGGTCCACATTGCCAGTAAAAGGCCTTCAACTCAAATGTATCAGTCCGAAATGCGTCAAAAAGTATGTAAGCTTACAAGTATGAAAGCAAATATTTTTACGTCAAAAGAATGAAAATGCGATGACTCGCGTGCACTCACTTCGTGTCTCCGTGCTTCGCCCGAAAGACGGCGTAGGTGGCAAGAAATACGGCGGGGAAACCTGCGACGTTTGAGAGAAGGCAAAGCCGAAGATTGCGTTTCGTGACCCCTGCACTCTAGGATCGAGTTCGAGAGAACGAAAAGCCGACAGTTACGTCTCGCGACCGCTGCACGCTCTAAGATACCCGGAGCGTTTGCTTTTCCGGTAAGCACCTAATAGAGACCCCTTTCAAAAGTTCATCGAGCACCATTGGCGGTCGCCATTGCTCGGACATCAAGTACACGATTGGATCCGAGTCTTTGCCGAACGGTGACGTCACACTCGTTTTCAATACGAACCGAGCCGAGTGCACGCCGAACGCGAACGCAGCTTTCGTTTCCAATACATCGTCAGACTATGCGATTTACCAATTACGGACAGGCGTTTTGCCGCGGACTTTTGAAAAAGGTCTATTGCTGCAACCTACGAAGATAGCTTGGTGAATAAAGAAACTAATATTTTCTTTAGGCATAAAATAAAAAAAAAAATAATTTCGGGCTGGCTGTGGTATTGAGCATTATGAAATGTCATGCTCGCTGCCGCAGCGCAGGCTGTATTTTTGTTTCGGGCCTAAACATATTTCCCGTTTTATATTTCCAAGGCGATCTTTCCGTAAATTGCAGTCATTGGCTCTGCCAAGTGATTCGCAGGAAAGTATAGACGCTTTAACGTAAACAGCGGAAATAAGGTAAGGAAGGAAGAGACAACAGGAAGGAAAGAACGCTGACTCACAACTGAGGTTTTAATGAAGAAGTAGTAAAAAAGAAGATATATGTCCAGTGCGGTAACATTAACAAAGTAAGGAAGGGAGAGGAGGTATAGTTATAAAAATTAACCTCTCTCTCTGAGTCCTCCCTTCCTTACTTTATTAATGTGACTTTATTAAGGTTCGCATCTCGTTACATTTCTTGAATCAAACTGCTTTTTCCACACCTTCACAAAATGGCTTCCGCAACACTTACTCCTCTGAAACTCAATTGGTAACTTTCACGCATAATCTAAACCTCATTATTGACCATTCCTCATTTGCGGATTGCATTTCTTTAGACTTCTCTAAAGCATTTGATAAGGTATCCCACAAACGTTTACTATATAAACTACACCAACTGAACCTTGATCAAACTTCTTGCATAGATTGAATATTTTCTTCTAAACCGTTCACAGTTTGTTTTAGCTAACAATTCTAACTCGCCGCCAACTGGTGTTCACTCCGGTGTGCCACAGGGTTCTGTTCTTGGTACTCTCCTTTTCCTTGTCTGCATAAACGATCTACTTTCTTGCGTTTCTTCTAGCATTCTCATGTTTACCGATGACTGCGTGGTTTTTCACGAAATAACTTGTGATGACAATATCACTAACCTCCAGTCGGATCTTAATGCCATCTCTAAATGGTGCAAAGCATGGTAGATGAACTTAAACGTTAATAAATGCAAATATATGCGCGTATCTAGAAAAGCTAATAGTTTTTCCACCTTCCTTCTGAATCACCATCCCCTTGATGACGTCACCTCATACAAATACCTTGGTATTCACATTACAGCCGATCTCAACTGGACCGCTCACATCTCGTATGTTATTAACTACGCTAGCAGATTGCTTGGATACATCCGACGTAACTTCTCAAAAGCCCCTTCGTCTTTAAAACTTTTGTCATATAACACACTAATCCGTTCAAAACTTGAATATGCTTCATCTGTGCGGGATTCTTACCAAGAAAAGTTAATATCTTGAAATGGTTCAAAATAATTAAGTTCGTTTTATCCTATCTAACTAAAACAGAACTGCCAGCATAAGCTCAATGAAATCGAGCCTCAACCTACCAACTCTAGCATCTTGCCGTAAATTATTTCAACTATGTCCATTTCACGAGCTCTTTCATCACCCATACCTGCGCCATGATTTTATTTTACCTTCCCCGTATATCTCATCCAGGTTGGGTCATGCTCTTAGGGTTAGAATTCCACTCTGCAAAAAATAACGCTTTTTTTTTCAGTCCTTTTTCCCACGCAGATCAGATGAGCGGAATCGCCTTCCCGCACCTACGGCAGCCATCGAAGACCACAATCTTTTCAAGAACGCCTTTGCTAATATTGTATGAGTAGGAGCCTCTTATTTGTCTTTGCTAATAACTGCACAATGTTGTACTATCTTATGAAATGCAATCCACTCCACTCTATAATGACTCAGGTATTCAGGGTAAATAGATAAATAAATAAATGTTACCGCACTTGCCATCTTTCTTCTCTTTTTGTAACATCTTCATTAAACCTCAGTTGTTAGTCAGCGCTCTTTTTTTCCTGTTGTCTCTTCCTTCCTCACCTTATTTCCCCTGCTGAAGTCAACATGTCCAACACACTCGCCCAGCCACTCATTTAAGTATAGACATTCCGGATTTCTTGGCGTGTGTGCCCATTGCAGCCATGTGTTCTTTATAGACCTTTTCTGTGTACTCTCGTCCCCAGCCACCTAGTACGCGTATCCGCTATGGGTGACAAAAAATACTTAAACATTTCAACCTGTTACTAGTAAAAAAATAACGGGGAGGCAAAATGACAATGTGTGACGGTTACGCTTGTATCCTAAGTGTTTTCTACCGGCGTGGCGACGGCAAATCAACATTTTCGCCCATACTGGAAGTGACGACAATTCAAGATGGCGGCGCCCTTGAAGAAAGGGTCTATAGACCAACGCAGGGGTTTGACGTCATGGAGTTGCGTTAGTCCAGAGTCGCTGACAGCTGAAGAAAAGGCAGAGCGTGACTTATCACCACCTCGCTTCTTGATTCCTTTTTGGGCCGTTCGTATCGTTTGATGCGGCAATCCCATTATCTGCGAAGCGATAATTAGGTTATTTATGATTCTTCACGCCCTGTATCTTTTCTCAGCTGTTGAACGCAATATAAAATACACCGTAATCCCCCAGCAAAAAACACACGAAAATAACTTTATAATGTGTCTGTTTCTTTGTTTTTACCGCAAAACTATTCTACGCATTTATGAACTCTGAATGGTAAGAAATAGCTGCCAAAGTTTCAAAAACTAACCGTTATCTCGTTGAAAAGTTATATAAGTGGTTTTCTGAAAATTCCAATGGTCGGCCGATGGAAGTCTCGAATACATGGAGCCGACTGTCGCCAGTTGCTGGAAACGAACAAAAACGGGCCCCGTATTTTCCCAATAAAAATTTACAGAAAATCTTATCACTTTTGATTCAGACAACGGCTTCTTCTGAAACTCTGTCATCTGGTTTGGACAGCCGGCGTTTCATTTTAAGAGGATAATGAGCCTTTGGGCGATGCATAGTTTGTTTATTTTTTATTATCTTTTTTTTTTTGGGGGGGGGGGGATAAAAAAGAACACTGACGTATCTTGAAGGAGTGCAGAAACTTTGAAATCTAGTTTGGTTGCTTTCAAAGTCATTTCCACGTTCTACAAGCTGAAACAGCTAAGAAAATAATCAAATAAAAGGAAGTTTTGTCGGAAAAATCCTAGGAAAAACGAGCGTTCACGCGTCGTAGAACTATAGCTCCTGCTGCCTTTTAGTCTGTTGCTACGTGCGTCCCATAAAACGTTCCGCAGATCTTTTTTTTTAATAAAGATATACGTAACTAATGCGTTCGAAACGCCATTAAAACTGAAATAAATTTCGTAAGACGCGTGTTGTGCATCCTCGGGGTCTTTCATCTCTTTACCCCTCCTTTCACGTTCTGAGCTCCCGAAGCGCCTTAGGAAAGTTGTTTAACGTTGCAGCGCCGTATTCCACACCTTTTCGTTGTGATTTCTTTTCGATATATTTATACTGCACGCGTTGAATTTCTTTTCTGCTACAGCAATCGCATTCGTCAAAGAAGCAATTCCACGTCCTTTATCTTTAACTTCTATGTTTTGTGGGACGAGGCTGTTCGGGTAATGTACTTTTGAGCCGCAAGAAGTCTTCTTCATAAAAGGAATTGCGTGCCAGAATGCAGAAATAAATTGACATTTCACAGGGCGGTTTCACTTGACGTACTTCCGGTCCTAAAACTTTCTGGGCGCCATATTAATGAACTTTCGCCGTATGTCTTTGTATGCGCGTAGACAGTGTTCTTCAGCTCGACTGAGGTTATTTTGCGCCGAAATCAACTCCCTGGACAGTCGGACATATAGAAGAGCATCGTTTAGTAACCGATTTCTATGCATACCTCTTTTTATTCAGAATTGAGACCACCCGGTTTTCGTGAAGATGCCTTCGATTGTCGCTTTCGATAATACTTGGGAGTGTCGTTAGCTTGTAGCACGCACGCACGGCGGAAAACCGTCAGAAGGAGACAAGCTCATGGTGGAAGTCGGACAACCGAAAAAAAGCCCTGCAAGCTTCATTAGTGTAAATTACACCTTTCGTTAGGTAAGAGTATCCACGACGAACGCTACACATGTTACACGCTACAAACCTTACACATTAGACTATACACGTCACATGTTATATGTTGCTATGAGTAGAAAACCTACACGTCACACATTACACTCACACACACTACGGAAAGTTACACAAAAGTGGTCGTGATGAACTCGCCACAGATTGATTACTCGTTATACGTTACAGATCGCGGGTTACACGCACTAAAAATAGTTACAGACAAGTGGTCACGATGATCGCTACAGACATTATACGTTACACGTAACCTACTAAACATTCAACATCAGCCATTATGCATTGCTCATTACAGATTATACGCGACACGTTACAAGGTAGACGGAGTTACACAAGAGCGACCGCGATGAACGCCAGTCGAGAGCTCCGAATTCACCGGCTCACCCCATCCGACGCTGTAGTAGAGCAGCACCGACTTCTGCTCCGCGAAGGCCGTCGTGATGAGCCTGTTCAGGTAGAAGGCCTCGCAGAACATCCAGTGGTACTGCGCCAGCCGGAAGTACCGCCAGCCGATGATGAGCAGCTTGCACCACGCCTGCGTGGATCGACGCCGGTATAACGAGGGTATAGCAGAACTCCGCTTAAAAACGAGTTCGTATTGTTTTGTAAGAACACGTTTCATGGAGGCACGTTACGCGGACAACTCTTCGTGGACACAGGTTTCGTTTACACTCGTTTCATCGACACTTTGGCGTGTCGTGGAAATTCGTTTTGTGGACACGTGCTCCTGCGTCGTTTTGCTGACAACGTAATCTATATTATTTTTTTGGTTTGTTTACTTAGTAGAGAGCTAAATTTCGAAGTTCTAAAGGCTAGCGCGTTACCCAGGCTCAGGCGTGTTTACCTAAGCTTTGGGGCCCCTCCTCCTGTCTTTTTCTCCGTAAACCACGTGAGACTCAAAACAAGTGTATTGCGAAAATATCAGCCCTGTTGTGTTCGACGAAGCGACGCAAGTTTTGTCGATGAAAGGAATGCGGGAAGACTTTCAACGGAACGGAATGTCCATCTAACGTCGCATTTCGACGAAATGATCCGTCGACGAAACGTCGATAGACAAACTGGTTACCACCGCATAGGAAAACCGACGACCTTAACATGTTAGGGCATAATATTTTGCACACAGGCACGAAAATTCTCAGCTAACAGGACCATATAGTTTGGGGTTTTCGACGTCACCTACCGGAAGCCAGCGGAGAACAGCGATTGGTCACGAATGGTGCGGCACTGCTTGGCTCGGACTCGGGTCCAATCATTCAAGACCCAAGTTCGGCAAGAACGCTGACAAACCATTGGAGTTCAATCGCTGCCGCGCAATCACCTTCGGCAGGTGACGCAACAAATTTAACACTGCACAACACTATGGGATAGCTATGTTATATTGAATGTGTTGATCCGCAAGGCATGCTCGCCCTATCAGAGCTACAACGACTCGCGAGAGACATTGCCGCAGACATGAAACATACCCTCAGAAAAATATTTATCCATTTCCTACAAAATTTGGATAGGAAGTAATATATGGAGACCAGAGGATATTCTACTGTCTACCGGCCGTTTCACCGAGAGAGGGCGAGTGAGAGGTTGGAAAGGGCTGCCGCGCACTTTCCTCCTCGCTCTTTGGCGAAAAACGGGGAAGACCCGGATGAGCAATACTGGGTGGGTCTGTTGCTTGAACTTTTGCGTTTCCTTGTCATTTTTGCTGTTGTCTTTTTATATTTTTTCTAAATTTAATGTCAACTAGTACCTGATCATCGCGGCACCATTATTCGAGAACGTATTGCAGAAAGAACAATCGAAACTGCCTAATATCATAAGAGGAGCTCTCGTGCGTGGGAGCCACAAGGCAAGTGAGACTGAAAAGTTTTTACTCTTTACCTCATCTCATATTATTACTTTTGCCAATCACCACTGTAGAGAGAGTTCTCGCTGTATATTTCGCATAGAATGCTCGCCGAGTTCTACCCCACGGCCGCACTGCGGAAAACCATGTGGCTGTTTTGTCTGGCACACAACGGCGGATCCCATAGTTTTCAGCTGGACCGCGTTGCTTGTTTTTCTAAATAATTGTCAGGTCGCCGTTGGTTCAATACGTAAACACGGTCTCAAGTAAGCAGATCTGAACACAATTAAAAGTTTCTGAACTTTATCTTGCGTCGATGCCGAGCTCAGGCAGGCTCATTGGTAAACATCCAAAGCGACTCAATATATGCTCCACATTCTATATCTCCCGACCTTATCCGTTGGACTAAAGTACATATTTGATATTGTGTGGCTTGTTAGTGGAATTATTTCCGATTTTTTTCAGATCAATAAAAGCACACTAGTGAAACTGGATTTTTTCTACAATTACCTGCGATTAAAATATTGAGTACGCTCTTTGACCATTTAAGACTTTGCTTGAGAATAATTTGCAAAACAAAAGGCTTTTTCGCACTGCATAACCCTGACGTTTATATCTTGAATGCGGCGATGTTCACACAAATTGAAAATTATACATCGCGCAGTAGCTAAAGGATTATTCACACCACCGCGCACAAAACAATTTTGGGCCAAAGTTAGTTCCATCAAGTTTTTTTTCTTTTTTTTTTCTTTTGGGGGGGGGGGGGGGGGGGGGGTCGCGATTTCTTGCCGGATTAAAGAGAGCAGTTAAATTAAATTCCATTTCTGGTGTGAATAAGTATATACATAGTGTGAGCTGGTACTGCAGCTGAAAGTTTTAATTTCCCCCAAATCCAATATATTTAGAAGCGCAGCCTAAATCTTCCACACCGATGCAAGCTCATGCATAGATTTCAGACAACTGAACTATTTATCGTTCGCAACAGGTCCACTTTAAAGCAATTATTTTCAATAGACCGACTTCACAGTCAGTTTTATAATGCCATCGCTGCCGCCAGGCATCGTGAGAACTGTGGTCTTTCCGCACGAGGGATAACCCCTTTGATTGTCTGCGCGCGCAGAGCAAAATATGCGCAAGCAAACCGGTGCTGCCTTAATCGTTCCCTTCAATGTAACAGTTGTTGTAGTCACAGTATGTATTCGAATTCAAAACGGCCTCCGCATCACAAAAGGAGAGTACTCCACGCCATGAATACTTTCTGCCACTTCTCGTGTTTTATTTACAGCGACCTTCCGTTACGCACATTATATTTTATTGTGGCGCACGCGGAAGAAGGACAACGTCTTTGGCGCACCTGCGTCCTCATTAACAGCTATTAAGACAGAAGTGCTGAATCAATGTCCTCTGATTGCTACTAAAACCGTGGCGATTGCCAATATCCTGGACAAAAAGTCTTCGGAGTGCTACCGTAACTATCGATACAAGAAGCTGCAACACGAGAACTGCGGCAGACGACAACACATAAGACGCACAGCGAAAGCCGAAGCGCAGATTCCCCCTACCCAACATGAAAAGAGCCTACAGGGACGCCCCAAGGTCTGCTTTCGGCCCAAGCCAGCATAGCCGCAGAACCCTACGCACGCCGGAGGGCGCTACTTTATTCAACATGGCGCTGCCCTCGAAATAACGGTCTATAGCTTTTTGGCCGGGTTTTCTCTAGACATTCAAGAGCCCTTAGCTTATAGAGAATGGATAAAAAGCGTGTAGAAAACAGGCAGAAGTAGCAACGCTTCTGCCCCCTTCCGGACTACATTAGGTCAGTTTCCAGCAAAACAAAAATCGGAACATTCATTTTTGGTTTGTCACAATACACACAGGGAAGCTGCCCTCGCCACTTGCCGTGCTCTCTTAGAAAAAAAGGGTATCGATAGTCCTCCATAAAGGGAGGAACGGTCTAACAGCCTATGTTCCTTTAGAAAGGGAGAAACTTCCGCCCCTGAAGCAGGTGAGCAAAGTTCCTCCGTCGCCCGCATCTCATTATGGCAGCTATGAATCTAGCAAATCGAGCTCAATAAGGCCTAACAAGGACGCTACGTCTTTTGTACGGGACGAGAGGAGCAGCAAATAAAAGCGTAACACGAGCTTTCCGCGAACTGTGTTCATTTCCGAAGCCAGATTCCCCCGCAGGTATAGAAGCTTCCGTTTCAAAAGCAGTTACTCAGTCTTCTCGTCGTCAGCACTGCGATGTTGATACCCTGTTACTTCGCTCACTTTCCGTCTTACCTTTGCTTTTCCTTGAGTCACAATTCCTTCGTCAACCGCGCACCACGGAGGAATGGCAAACCAATCCGCGAAACCAAAAGCCGCTCCCAAAAGAACAAACTCGAAGCCGCTGTTTATCGCGTAGCGTGAAAGAAGGTTGAATCGCTTGCCACCATGCAGATGGCAGGGTAAAGCAGAGTAATGGCAATTAGCTAGGCTAGGTGGCGCTAGGTACCGCCAAATACATGTTCTACAAAAAAAATATTTTTATTTCCTCAGACAACCATTGCCCTTCTGGATCTTCGGGAACATATATTATACACACATGTAGACGCATTACGCATGCTACAAACATCAGCTGAACATACATTGAGCGCATACACATACCTGGCACATAGGAACATCACTACAATGTGACACTAACGCGATCACTACACCAGAGCTCTACGTTTCTGTCTTTTATACTGGTTGTTTTGAACGCACGGAATTTCTCGGTGGCTGCCTAAGCATTAAAAAATATTTCCAGCATGTTGATTTTTTTCCAGCAATAGTATACCTCTGAGATTATTTTGAATGGCTCAGCGGATGCAATTCTTAATAAAAAGAAAACGCTGGATCACGTCGTAATTATTTGAAAGCCAATACATTCAGCCGCCCTAATGTGGTTCGAAGCCATGAGTTTGTTTTCCCGCACGGCTCATCCTAGCCTATAATTCTATTGTAGTGTTTGTTTTTCTATTTGTGCTGTTCGCGCAAAGCTGCAACTGCCGTCTTGAATTCATCTCTGTAGAGCGGATATTCACACAGCTGGAAGTAATGCTTTACGGGCAGAGAAATCGCTATTCAATAAACTTGAATGCAGTCGAAGCCGCGACTTGCGGGAACTGTTAAGTGTACGGAGCTACGCCGTGACGAGCTCGAAAACTTGTAGTGCTCATCCCAGCGCGCCACTTGAAGGGGAGTTTCTCCAGGAACCGTAGTATATTTAAAGAAAAAAAATAAATGATAGCTTTTTTTTATATTTTACCTACTATTCTTTTTTAATGCTAAACAGGTTGAGTCCCGTCGTCGTCAGCTGATTCGGTCCAGCTGGTCCGGGAGGACTCAGCGAGCGTTTTTAAAAAGTAAATCTACCTTCGTTCCGTCTCAACATATTGAAGATTGCCGACGCATACCGTGAGTAAAACGCTACGGGCGTGTTAATTGAACAATGGACTCCGGATTATTGTCCTAAATTTGCCGTTTTTGTGCTTCGTGTTGTTGGGCTGCGTTTGCACAGCGACGCTCACCGCTCGAGTAGATGATTCGGTCCTGCAAACGAGCGGTTATTCAGAATTTCAGGAAAACTTAAGTCACCACCTATATTTTCCTGTAAATCTCGTGTGAGTTTGTTGCGCTCATCATGCGGTGTGAATAAATGGGGGAACATTTTTTAC